CTCGTGATTCAACACCCACTGACTAAAAAAAATACGTCAGCCGTCCAAAATGGCCGAAATCCCTTTCCGATAAATGTCAAGCCAAGTGGGTTCAGAAATTCATCCTCAAGAATTTCCCACTATATAACTTAAGATACCATTTGCGAAAGGTACCCTAAAAACTATATTTATATACAGTATAACTATATTTGGGAAACTGTTCCCGACAAAAATTAATACAACAGCGATCGCAAAAAAAATCCCTCACGACTTAAAATCGCTCATTGTGAAACTACCTTACCTCGGGTTCTGAGCCCGATATTGGAACGTCCTACAAACATGACACTTGTCGGTGTTCTGTCGTCAAATGACGTTTATGTCATTCACTGTCACAATTAAAAAATATTAACCTAATACTGACAGCTATAACAAAAATAAGCAATGAAATTCTTAAAGAATGGTATCTTAAATAATTAATTACCCAAAGGTGAGACTATAATACATAATATATATAAATTTACAACGAAACTTGGTCTATTTTTAGGAGAACTACCATCCTTTTACTTAGTGGTGAGATGAAATAAATTGTAATAATGATGTCCGAAAGTTAGAATACAGGTGAAATTAGTTAATGACAAAAATAATAGTGATATCATCAATACGATTTTACCCTTTTTTTTTCGTATGATTAACCAGATAAGCCAAAACAATTTTATTAATTCGTGTGGCCAAAAATGAACGTTACAGTAGGGGTTCACCGGGATTGGCAGTATTTGTTGAAGGGGTTCATGTGATTTCTGGAGGGGTAAATGTATTTTAAATTCATTTTATATTCTTCTTTTTTGACTTAGTAGCGGGTATTTTAGTTTCTTCTCTTTCGGTTTCACTTGAATCTGAAATTTCGTCCACGTCCATGCCTGCTGTCTGTGCTATCTCTTCTTCCGTTTCATTCTTATTTTGGTTATCCGCACCCACCCTTCTTGTAGGCTGTGAGATATATTCCTCTATTTCTTCATCACTCGACAGCCCTTCTACGCTCATATTTTCCATATCGGAGAGATCCCCATTTTTAATGATATCTATTAGCTCTTGCATATCTTTCGGATTTTCGAGATATTTTTTTTTTTTTGGGTTACTCATCTTATAAAATTTTAAACGGAATTCCTAACAACGCTTCATACTATATGTACATCGGAAAGGACACACAACTTTAGCGCTTGGTACCATTTGTCCAAATAATAAGCAAAACTATTGCAGGACTGGTTTAGTTATAGCAAATACTAATTTTCTAAATCCTTATTATGGATTACACAACAGTTTTATAGCAATATTGTTAGGAAGTAACTCAGAAAATGCAAATTAATATGCACTTACTGTCAGCTGTACTGCTTGGTTATGTTTGACAGATACTTATGGCGAATAATATTTCCTTTTGACACTAGATGGTGCGAATAGTCCCAAGAATGAGTTGAATACAGGTCCCTTGACAGAGACAAACAGTCTAGACAGATGTTTTTATATTTAGATGGCCGTAAAAAAAATTTGAAATCGATGTCCATTACAATGGACGCCAGGTCTGAAGTGGTTAATACATACATTTTGTAAAGAAACGTAATTTATTACTGTATAGTTAACTTGTTACAAAAGAATTTAAACATAAGATTCAGGTTAAAAAAATAAACGTGACAAATAAAAGGATTAAAAGAAAATTATTACAATTTAGCATGTGTTTGGTACTCGGTATCACCAACATAACAAGTTGTTTACTTAAAAATTCTTATATTATTATATAATATATTTTTCCCCCTTGCCCTTTTGAAAGAAATGAAATACATTTAAAGTTGTTATTATAGATAATAATTGAAGACTTGAATAGTTGAAATACATTAAAACACATTACATACTAAAAAAGTCTTAAAAAAAAATTGAAAACAAGTAGTTTCTGAAACGAAGGGCAATTTTCAAAGTAATGAGAAAATAATAAGAATCTAACAATGATTTTTAAAAATATTTTATTTGCCTTTCATCTATAAAGTAGGCCAGCGTGCCAGTTCCGCATAAAATGTTTGTGTATTTTCGTCAGGGCCCCCGATGAAGGATGAAGTTTGATTGTTTTTAAATATATATTGTAGATTGTCGAGGGGATTTGACGCTTCAGATAATGAAAACATCTAAGAGCTTTCATCTCGTTAAATAATTCATTTTCTTCTCCGTCCGCCTCCTTATTTTCCTGATTTGTTAGCTTTTGATGTAGGCTACGATAGCTTTTTAAAAGATCCTCGTCATTTAAATTAAAAATATCACTAAATAAACCAAAGATATTGTCGTAATCACTAGAATAAGATCAAATCTACTATTTAATTTTTAATTATTTTTAAAAAGAAATTTATTTTTAAAGCAGTTTTTGGATTTTGAGGTGTCCTGTCCCTTTATTCATAATTAAACGATTTTGGTTAATACTTTCGTCTATAGTAGAATCGCAATCAACACGAAGTAATAAATCTGTCAGAGGAAAATTCAGGTGTGGGTGCCTATATTTATATTTACGGAGTACATAAAATCATCATTTAAAAATATATTTTTTTGAATATGTATTATTGAGTTAATTCGGTATGTAGGTACTTTACAAAATGTTTTTTGAGTTATTTGCAATTGTTATGTAAATGATAGAGTTATATGTTTGAGTAAATTAACAACAAGGTTTACAACAAATATTTTTTAAGACCTATCAATTTGACTATTAAATTGTTTAAATAGTTATTCACCATTGACTTCTTGGACATTTTTGATGTCAAGGTAAAAGTTAATGACAAGTGGAAAGAAAGGTTTCAGCTTAGATTATAGAAACTAATCTAAGGGTTCAAAATAGCGACAGTAGAATTGAAAAATGCAGTTCAAAGTTTACAAGTAATCTGATGAGTGTAAGCAAATTAACGATATATAAGTTATAAGTAAATTAAAAAGTGGAGTTGTTAAACCCTCAAAGAAAAATGCAGAAAGCAAGAAAAAATTGGAATTTACTTAACAAATTTAAAGTGGAATAAGAATAAAAGTCACGAATTTTACTCTCACCAAGTGAGTCTCTACATATTTTGTTGCGTCGACATGAACTCAAGGCCCAGTTCGAGGACATAGCTACCTTTTACACCTGGACTGAGATACAAGCTGGTCGTGGGTCAGTTCAAATAGGTTCAGCTCTATTAAATTATTTGGATTCACTGAAACTCGAAGACATTGAAATATACTCACCGGCACGAAAAACGGAACAGTTGAATTTTTTTAAACAAACTTAAAATTTTAATGCTTTGTGATGTTTTATTATTATAATATCTTAAACATAAACAAAACAACATGTTTTAGGTATTTTCTAACAACAATTGAACCTTTATTTGAAGAAAAAAGGGTTTTGTAACAATTTAAAAAACGAAGACGAAAAAGCACAAATTGGTGTTGTTGCTAAATGACCTTACATTAATCAAAACTGAAACGACTTGCTAGCAAAAACTGGGGAGCCGCATTTTTAATAACGTGTGTTGCCCCCACGTGCTCGAATAATAGCCTGATCCTCTTGGCATGCCTAAAATTAAGTGGCGAATGTCCTCTTGAGGAATATGTTCTCATTCCTCTAAAAGAGCTTGTTGCAACTGATTTAAAGTTAAAGGAGCAGGAACACGACTTCGCATCCTTCGCCCAAGCATGTCCGAAACATGTTCAATTGGGTTCGCATCCAGGCTTAACGCTGGCCACTCCATAATAGGAATGTTTACATCGTTTAAGTGCTGTTGAGTGATTTTTGCGATGTGAGGTCTGGCATTATCATGCATTAGAAGAAAGTCATTTCCAATAAAGTCAACATAAGGGACAACAAAATCTTGGAGAATTTCATCAATGTACCTGGCAGCAGTTAAGGAGCCTCTCGGAAGGATGTACAATTCTGTGTGTGCCTCCATAGAAATTTCGGCCCACACCATAACTGAGCCTCCTTGGTAGCCTACCCTAGGACTGAAGGTACATTCTGCGAAACGCTCTTGTGGTCTTCGCCATACTCTCTCATGACCATCTGGAGACCGCATGCTTAATCTGGACTCATCCGTAAACAAAACGCGCCCCCATTCATTTTCACCCCAGTGCTGATGATTTCTGGCAAACTGAAATCGCGCAATACGATGACGCCTAAGAAGCTCTGGGCCTGTTGCAGGTCTACGACTGGTAAGATTGGCTTCTCCGAGTCTTCGTCTAACTGTCCGTTTACTTATGTTGGTTTGCTGGACGTGATGAAGTCGATTTCTGATTTCAACAGCCGTAGCATGACGATTTCGCAGACTTTGTAAGATGATAAAGCGATCATCATGAGCGCTAGTTCTTCGTTGGGAACCAGTTCCAAGTCGTCTGGTGTAAGCTCCAGTTTCCAAAAAACGTGTAAAAATACGGTGCACAGTGCTATTGGATATGTGATACTGTTGGGCAACATATCGCTCACTTCTTCCGTCTTAAAGCAACGCAACAATAGCAGCCGCTATTTCGGGATTAACAGCCATAATTTTGTAGGTGAAATAAACGCGGTACAACTTTAAAACGTGTTTCGATCTGTCAAATTTCTCAAAACAATGACAACAACAGCATTGTTGGTTATGGTTTCATAGCCAACTATGCACTTTGAAGTGATAAGTCCGTTCAATTTTTGATTTTTATTCAAAAACGCTTTTTTTCTTCAAATTGTTGTTAGAAAATGCTTAAAACACGTTGTTTTGTTTATGTTTACGATATTATAATAATAAAACATCACAAAGCATTAAAATTTTAAGTTTGTTTAAAAAAATTCAACTGCTCCGTTTTTCATGCCGGTGAGTTTATTAAGACTATTTTGTGATGGTTGTGGGGGCCAGAACAAAAACTCGCATATTGTACATGCTCTTTATTTTTGGCTCATAAATAGGCCCCCCGGCACTTTAAAAGAAATCCAGTTGACTTTCCCAGTTCGGAGACATAGCTTCCTTCCGGCAGATAGGGTTTTTGGCCATATGGAAAAATGTTTAAGAAAAAACCCAACAATATTAAGCAAGGACAAATACTTTGAAAAATATTCCGAGTTTGGAACAGTGAAAGAACTTGGCATTGACTGGAATCTTTACGACATTAAAAATCTGCAAGATTGTCTTAAGAAAATTGTAGGTATTTCTGACTACAAGCGAATCCTTATCAAGAAATCCCATGATAAAATAGGACGAGATATCCTGAAAGTGCAATGTCATCAGAATTTTAGAATGGCAATTTTAAATGAAGTGCCCCAACAGATTCTTAAAGCACGAAAAGAAGTTCCAACAGTATTAGAAGAAATTCCTTTAACGCGATTTCTCCCTGAGAAAAAGAAAAAATCCCTAGCTCATCTGATGGCTCAACAGTTTAATACAACCTGGAAAAATGATGAGAATCTAGCGTGATACAAAAATATATTGCGTGAAGCTCCACTTGAAGCTGGTGCCATTGAAGTTGTAGAACAAAATGAGAACGTACTTTGCGATTGCCTCGAGGATGACCTAGGAATGCACATTTAAATCGTTCATTATTATTTTTTTAACGTTTTGGATTTTTGTGTGAATTTAAAATATAATAAACGTTTGAAAATACATCCTTGCTTTATTTCAAAACTACAACAAAGTTTTAAAAACATATTTTTATACTTAAATAATAATAAACAATAAAAAAAAAATAATATTAAAAAAGAACTTAAGCAATAATTACTATGTTAATCATCAAAAAAAAAAAAACATTATTTACGAGGTCTATATTATCATATTTGAGATACACCATTTATTTTATATATTTAAATAGAGTAAAGCATAATATCTTATTCCAAAAAATAATATATAATTTAATATAAAAGCCAACACATGTGTCATTCACTGCAGGTGTAGAGGTTATGTATAAAATTTGACAATCGCTTGAGAAATCATCAAACAAAAATATATATTGAAAAATATACTAACAAAACGTACCTTATAAAATCAGACGGTCATTAACATAAATAAATATAATTTAGTACTTCGGATGACCAAGATTATTCAAAATATAAGTGACCTATTCGTAGCTGTCTTTGAAATTAAAATGTCACTACCTCTGACACAAAGCATAGACGACAAATTTAAGTAAGAGGTGATTGTGTCCTAAATAACGAAATAACGGTTCCAACCGTTACAACCTGTTAGCAAAATGTGGCAGGACACAAGCATTCAATCTTCACGACAGACTTTTTTGGAGGCATTATCTACAGTAGTGATGCCGCGAGACGAGAGATTCTCGTCTCTCGTCTCGTCTCGTCTCGACATTTTCTCTCGAAATTCGAGACGAGACGAGAGAGTGTCTTCTCTCGACGAGAATTTCTCGCTTCTCTCGAGCTCTTTTGAGCTCTCTCGAACATTTTACTTTTTGCTTATTTGAAATGTTCAATTGTTTATCGCAACTTAAAATTTAAACCTATCAGATATTCAGAAAGTTAAAAAGTTAACTATACCACACGTATTCAATATACATGTTAAACGGTAACAAATAATATGTGTGTAATTGGGATTATGAAGTAGTAATTTATGAAGAAACTATGTCATTTATTTAAAATTCAGTTATTTATCAAAACGGTTATATTCATCTTCACCGATTACGAAAAATATTATTTACATAATAATAATAATAATAATAATAATAATAATAATATTTATTAATCAACAACAACAAAATTCGACAAGAAAATTACAATTTGTTAATAAATATAATAATAAAACCCACAGAAGGTCTAGCCTGTGCGTGGGTTATAATAATAAAATTAAAAATAAATAATAAAATAATCGAAGTAGTAATAAAACTAATAAAACTAATAATAATAATAATTATAACAATAATAATAATAGTTAACGATAACATGAATAACAAAATCTACAATAATAAAAATAATATTGACAATAGTACTAACATTAATACCAATATCAATGCAATACCTCTACTAATACCAATACTTATATAACTACCAACACCAATAACAACACCAATACTAATATCAATAACAATTAAAATAACATTAATAAAATAATTTGTTTACTCAATTTTTAATCATTAATAATCATTCATATTTTATATATAATATATTACATTTAAATAAATATCTCTTTTTTTATAGTTTATAGTGTTTCAAAGTAAGCATGTATTTGATTTCTAGGAATTGTTTTCATCCATTTTTTAATTTTATTTTTAAATAGTGATTTTGAGTTTATTGTTTTTAAATCAGGTGGGATTATATTATAAAATTTTGGACCAAGATAGCCATAGCTTCTTTGTAATAAGTTTTTATGAGATGCAGGTAAGTAGTTTTATTTATATATTTTATATCTTGTATTATAATCATGATTAATACTTCTTAATTCTCTTTTATTTAAATGTTGTCTTATAAGGGTGTTTAGAAAAAACAATTGTCGTATATCATTTACGCCTATTTCTTGATATAAAAGTTCGGTGGGAAATAATCTGGGTTTTTTTAAATAATATTTTAAGAATATATCTTTGTGTAGTTTCTAGGATTTTGATATGGGAGTTTTGTGCAGCTCCCCAACATAGTTCTTGGAATAATTTTTATGACTAGAAGATAAAAATTGTATAAAATTATTTCCAAGCAGCTTCTGATAATAAAAAAACGGATCTTTCAAAATATATATAAATTTTTTTTTCGATGATTAATTAAAGTTTTTATTTTCCAACTTAGTAAATTGCCAATAAAAAACTGAAAAATTGTTTTTTTTTCCAATGGGGATTTATTTTAACTACATAAAATCATAAGTATTACATATGGTTGAACTCGTATTGAATAGGATATTCCAATAATGACTGAATATACAGGGTGATGAATTTGAAAAACCAAAGTGACTAATAATTTAAGAGAAACGGCAAATCTGGCAACATTGCAAATATCAAATCTGGAATCACCGTATCTCAAAATAGATATACCCCAAATTTTGTACAATTAGGACTAGCAATTTACGAGATAATTGGCCGTTTCCAGACTTTTGGGCCACTCTGTATACAATATACAGTGAAGTATTACAAGTGTATTCAAAAAAGTTTTATTCAAATGAGAAAAAATGTACTTTACATTTGACAAAAAATATTCTTGATAAAAAGTTCTGAATCACTTACAAAACCATAATCAAGCCTCAAATTTATAAAACGGTACATGGTATAAAGGAAAATTTAAAAATAACATTAATAAAGCACTTTTAAATTTCAATATAATCCAAAATATTAATTGAAAATTTTGATAGAAATAAAAAAAAGATGAAAAATTTATTTAAACGAAAAACCTATTAGCAAATATTTTCTCATAAAATTTAACCACAAATTAACCATTCATGATTCAAATAAATTGCACTTATTTTTAAATGATTTTAATTTACCCTATTCAGTAAATATTCCAATCAATAACAAGTGTGTACTTATTAGAAATTTGTGAATTTTTATTAAATTTGAGACTTGATTATAATTTTGGAGGTGTTGCAGCACTTAACAAGATTTTATTTTGTGAAATGTAAGATAAAAATTTGTACATTTGTATAAAACTTTTTGGGTTTTTGGGACAAACTTTTGTGTCAGGTTTTATTTTGTACAACTACAAGAAATTTTTTATATCGCGAATTTTATACCAGACAACAGGCAAACAAGTCATTATTAAGTTTTAAAAGTAAATAAAAAAGTTTTACCAAATGAAATAGCGCAATAGTGTGTCGTACCGTATATGTTTTAAATTAATTAGACTTGATAGGTATCTTGATAGATTTAGCTGGCAGGCGCTGATATAAAGTATCAGTACAAATTCTTTCTTTGTATGGAAAACTATTCAACAGACAGCAATCGTAATAATTTTCGTTCAGTCAGATTTTTCTGCGGATACTCTTGGAGATAAGTTGGAAATACAGCAATTTTTTATCTTTTTTTCGAAAACGTGTTATATGTTTTTAAAAGCATTCTTCAAATAACTTTTTCGTTTGAAATCACACGATGGCATCACAAAAATTCTAACTTCCAATTTAACCTCGAGACGAGAGAACAATTTTCTCTCGCCCTACGAGACGAGACGAGAGAGGCCTCCCTCTCGTCTCGTCTCGCGGCATCACTAATCTACAGGATTGAAGGTTCCCTTCGGTAAAGGAGGACGTCTAATTATAACTCATATTAGAAGTGATGATTGGTTCTCAAAATGTGTTCTTTAATATTTTAATCTAAAAAAACCGGTGATTACCATTAAGATATGAACGCTGATGTTTTTAAAGAATATTTTTAGCTGATGATAGAACATTTGCCAAAGGGTTCAGTTATACTAATGGATAACGCTAGTTACCATTCCCGTCTAATTGGATGTGTGCCAAATACTTCATTGAAGAAATGTGATATCATAAAGTTGCTAACAGACAGAAACATTAACTTTCCAGAAAAATCAATAAAAATAGAACTACTAGAAATTGTGAAATAAAATAAGCCTCCAGTACGTTATGTAGTGGATGAACTTGCAGAAACACATGATATTGATGTTGTGCGTCTTCCTTCCTATTCCTCTAATCCTCCATATCACTTGTTACGAAGGAAAATTGGCAAAAAGCAATCGAGCATGTGTTAAAAGAAGAAGAAAACATGTGGGACTGGACAAAATCTTGAATATCGATACTGCAGTGCCACCTTTAATAATATCAGTAAATAAAAACTCATCAAGTGAATATAGTGATTTATAAACTTTCACGTTTCCTGATCTTCTATAGTAGGTAAGCATATCTATTTTATATCTAAATTTTATAATCATATTAGTAAAATGGAGTAGGGTCTGGTGGCGCGGCGTTAAGACCACCCAATTAACGCTGCGAGAAACTTAACCACCAAAGAATGCTCAAAAGCTTGCAAGACTGCAAAAACCGAAAGCAAACTCGGAGCATGTCAAAAAAGTGGTGAAAATATTGAATTTACCAAGTTCTTGATATGGTACCACCAAAAAAACACAAAAAATAAAAAATTGGCCCTAGGCAACCAAAAAAATTTCTTTTTTGAGGGTGACTGGCGAGGGGACCCACCTAGAACAAGCACCCCGGCGGTTAAATTATATTTATTTAAGTTTAAAATAGTAACAAAAAAAAATACAAACATATACCCTCTAATTTATGCGACCATGCACTTATCAGAGTCTTAAAAGAAATTAAAATAAGGGTAGCCCATTGTTACGTTCCACCAAACCGGGCGACACAGGTAAAATTCTTAAGTTCACCACACCTTTTAAATGCCGGCTTTCTAAAATTACAGATTTTGTTTGAGCTGCCCATAAAATTTTGATTTATTACTCCATGTAGATTGCGATTCTACTGTAACAGGAAAAACCTTGCTCTAAATCAAGAGTGGCTGCTAGTTTTCTAGCTTAAGG